AATTAGATTGACAAAATATAATTGGTTAAATTTAAATCTATATACTTATAAATAAGTATCGATATACTGTATATCAAAAGATTAATTTTTCTAACAAACATTCGATCTACTCTTTTCATCAAAAAGAAAAAAAAAATGAAATCAACATTTTTGCAAGAACTTTCAAATGATTTATTTGAATTACTGAATAAAGCAGAAGATTATAACGTAATTGTCCAAGCTGGTGATCCAACAAACTACAAAGAATTTAAAGCTCATTCTGTATTGCTTCGTGCTCGATCTGGATATTTTAGGTCAGCTTTATCAAATGATTGGCCTAGAAAATCTGGTGATCTTATAGTATTCAAAAAACCAAATATTCCCTCTGGAATTTTTGAAATAATATTAAAGTATGTATTATCGTTATTATTGAAAAAAAAAATCTAATCTACATGCTTATACGTAAACATGCATATTTTATCACTAATTCTAACTCAAAAATAACCATTGAATTCTTATAGATATATATATAGTGGAGTAATAGAATTGGATCAACTCGATGGTGCTGATTTATTACGATTAATGCTGGCCAGTGATGAATTACAACTTCCAATTTTAATCACTCATGCTCAGGATCATTTAATCAAAACTCAAGCTGAATGGATAAATCAAACTTTAGTACCAATTCTTCATATAGTATGTCATCATGGTACATTTGGAAAACTTCGTGATTATACTTTAAAAACTGTTTGTGCTTCTCCACAAATTTTATTCGAATCTAAAGATTTTTTAAATCTTGAAGAATCAGTATTGCTTTATTTATTAAAAAGAGATGATTTAAATTGGGATGAAATTAAAATTTGGGATCATGTAATTAAATGGGGTATTGCTAATACTCCACAAACAAAATTACATGATGACGTAATGAATTGGTCTGATAAAGATTTTGAGGATTTGGAATTTACTTTACATAGATGTATTCCTTTAATTAGATTTGCTCATATTTCTTCTGGTGATTTCTTTCACAAAGTTCGTAAACCATTTAGAAAATTACTTCCTTCTTTAATTGAAGAACAAATTCTTCAATTTTATTTAGATCTTGAAAGTAGAGTTCATAATGTATTTTTACCTAGGAATATTACTTCCGGACCAATCGATTCTGTTCTTATTGATATACAGTATATCGATACTTATTTATAAGTATATAGATTTAAATTTAACCAATTATATTTTGTCAATCTAATT